AATATTTCTTTAGTTATTTTGTACATAACGTAGCAACCATTTAATATTCCTTAATTTCCAATTATTATCTAGTTAAATTCAGTACCTATGACGGAAGTTAATTTGAAACTACATTGTGACTAAGTATGGTTAGGGTGTTCGACTCTGCCACTAAGTCATAGCTCGAACCCAACTTTATTTACTTCAGTTTGGAGAAACAAGTACCATCATTAGCTGTAACAATAAGGATGTGACTCGAAGCCAAGTACATGACGTGTAACTGGTAAAAGGAGTTCAGCTGAGGAGACCAGTTCGTTCAACAATTACCTTAACAGTCGGATATGTAGATAACAAACTAAATATACAAAACGGTCCGAAAAAAAATGTAATTAACACTTCCCTTCTACAAAAACCAATAAAACCCTAACTAAAGGAAGGCGTTGCCAAAAAATAGGACGGAAAAGGGTATTTTTGCATTCACAACGTCATAAGTAACATCAGTACTATGGGAAATCAAAGATTATGTAAATCATTTGTTTGTTGTATATGTATATTAAGATGCTATTTATCACTGTAGTAAACAAAATATGACGTTAGGATACCATGACAACAGCATGTAAACATAACATAGGCAACGCTTGTTAAAATAAAAAAACCTCCAAAACCCTTAGGAACCATGTTCAATTTGTAGTCATTGAAACGTTTTTATAGAACAAGTACATAACCCAAAAAGTGGTTATTTGGTTGGAGCTTATATTGAACCATGAGTTAAATCAGTCATGTCAAACAGTTTCCATATTTTTTCTTTTTACCTAGTATCGTTATACATGCTTCAAAAGTTAATATTTGTTTGATTCAACTTCTTTTACTTTAACATTCATAGATTGATTTACGGTGAGGCATATTTAAATAGCTGAAGAAACACAGCCTTTTGAACACCTTAAGCAACAAGAGAAATTCTCAGGATGAGTTATTTATTTCTCCAAGGTTGGCCTCGGTCGATGTGCAATTTGACGGTGAGGAGTAACATAGTTGCTCAGACTGACTAACTAACTTATCTATAGAGTTCTATTCTTAACATTTGATTATAAGTATCAGTTAGCCCTAGTTTAAAAGAGATGTCTTCCTGTTAACAAAAGTATGCACATTAGTTGATTGACATAACAATACTCGTTTGGATTCAGTTGGAAGTTACATAATTTATGTAAGCACTAGATGATACCACTCGACCGTCCAGACTAAATTAAATAGACAGGGGTTTGAACGTGGGGATTAAACGAAGATGACGTTTAGTGTTTTAACCATTCAGTCATTATTACACTTGAAAATGGTGGAAAATACATAGTGAGTGTAGAAAAGAAGACACAAAATGAAGAAAAATATTAAATCCATTTACCTGGTGTTGTGTCACATCTAGATAAATCAGTTGACTTATTTCTAGTTGCAGTCTTTGATAATACTCCTACTCCCACTGCATCTTCTTCCATATAAATACCGGACTCATTATCATCTGAACGAGTTTTTACTGGTGTAAATGCATCATCATCAATGGTAGATGGGGATTTATGAGTTAACAATAACTCCATTGATGTATATTTTGTTTTTGGTGCGTTGGTTGTATATATTTCAATATTATTATTACCATTAATTGGTTGAGATAAATTCAATGATTTTGTCTTATTATTATTATTGTTATTATTATTATGTGGTAAAAAGATGTCTTCGAAGATAATCGGTAGATTAGTAACATCACCGTCTAACTCACGACAGGTAACTGGTAAAGTTGGAAGTTTTTGAAAATAAACTGATTGGCGAACATCATTAGCAAGTGATTCATGTCCTACAACACTGAAATATGAAAATTTCTTAGAAAAATCTTTAAGCATCAAAATAACTTGAAGTTTTTATAAAAATAATGTAAAATCAAACAACATAATAGAAAATTTCTAAGTGATGTTTAAGCTCAATCAGGCATAAACAATGTAGAACATAGCACATATATGGGCAAAGATTCAACTTGTCACACTTCGTCACGATACCGAGATTAAATTATCAAGACAAATACTAAGGAATTCAAAGTAGTAACAGTATCAATATTAATTGAACAATCAAATGTGAGGAAAAAGAATGAAATCGTGGAATGAAAAAAGCATAAGATAATTCCAGAACTCAAATTTTCAAGAAAAGAACAAAGAGAGTGAAAAGATCTGTGTTGTTCCAACCGAACCAGAGCTTAGTCACTACCTAACATATTTAAATGAACAAACAGCTATCTAGTGCTCCCTGGTTTTCAGATATTGTTGAGCTAAAGTAAGTCCGAGTTGTATAATTTTCACTTAGTTGTAAGCAGTTTCTAACATAAATTGATAATAACGAGAATTACTATCGAAAATCAAAGGAACTGTAAGTCATTGATTTTGGACTTCATTGCTATAGAACACACTATGCTAGTTATGAAAGATGGCTAAAGATTTTAGGCTCAATTCAATATGAAATGATGTACCATACCTTACAATCGTTAATTTTGAACATAAGGGTGTTATTCCGTCAGGAAACAAAATGAATTCCAATAGGTAGCTGCCCTGTCTACAAATATTAGTTCAATTAGAATATATTCCCTCTATCGAGTAAACACGTAAATCGCAACCAAATATTTAAACACATAAAAATTGATACAAGGAGGCACCAAATATATGTTCACCACACAAATCATTCCATCCGTGTCCGTGTGAGGGTTGAGATACTGTCCGAGCGCTTGAACCGATGCGGGTGGTTTACTTAAAAGACCACACTCCAATCTTTTGACCTACAGTTCTAATCTGCAAGGCAGTGAAGCAGTCCCATGGTAGTCGGTGACCAACAATAGGTTCATACATCATTTGTCCTCTCAGGATCCAGGAGTCCATGTGCACCATTTGTTTGTAATTAGGGTTTTCCAACTCTCCTAAGTGGATCCTCCATATCTACTAACCCACTTGAAGCGCCGGACATTCACTTTTCGTCTTTTAATTTTCGTATGAGACTTATCAGTAGTGTGTGTTAGCATGTCGTTGTGACCATTAGTTCAGCTTGTTTGTTTAACATAAGATTATTTGAAATGTATTAAGCTAATACCCTAGCAATACTTTACATTTCAATTTAATCCTATAGTGGTTGCAAAGTGGTCAGTAATGCAAATGATATGAAGAACAAGAAGTAAGTCTGGCATTAAAGTTTAAATCTCATTTGTTAGTAGAGAGTGGTCTGAAAAACTATGATACAATTGCTTTTAAGAGTGCACCATGTTTCTGAAGGAGGAATGGCTTTTTTAATGGTCGGTTGTTTCGTAGTTTGATATCTCATTAGTTTAGAAGTTTTAAGTCAATAATTCGATTTTTTCGAGTGCCGGTTACTCAGTCACATTACATATACTACTACAGGTGACTGATTGCATACTGACAAGTAAAGTGTTTTCTATTCTGACATTTGGTTCATATCAATATTAGTTAAATAAATTTAAGTCATGTGAATAAATCATAATTTCAGTTGAACGTGTTCTAAATGCACTCTAACGAGTGAAATACAATCACAACGTTGTTATTATAAAATACTGAAGTCGTGAAGCTTGCACTAATGGAGATGTCACAATTCGAAGTGAAATGCACATGTACGAGATGAATTTCTCAGTTAGGTGGAGTTTACTTAAAACAAGACTGTAAAACAATGAATTATTTTGTAGATACATATTAACATATTAATCTTTGAAATACACGGTTTAAATGGAAGTTCACGGTACTAGCATATCGTCCATACCTAAATAACAACATAAGGATAAGATTTTGTGACTTAACGACTGCGAACTAACTGTTTGTAACCATTAATTTACAGCTCCATTAAGACTATACAAATTGTGAAAAAAAGTAAGGTCTACTACATAAATGATGTAAAATTAGCTTTATAAAGACAAATATTATTTGTTACCTTGAGTCATAAATAGCTAGTAAATTGACAAGTGATAATTCTTGACAAAAAAATGCCTCAGCCAATCGTTTCATCTAAATTATTTTTCAAAAGTGAGAAAAAAAAAGAAAGATATGTAATACAAGGCATGAAATCTCATGACAACATTGAAATTCTTATTGGCGATCTACAGTTAAAATAAATCGTATTCTTAAAACGTACCTGATAATTAACTGGTATTGTTTTTTAGTCTTAACCAATCAGTAATGTTGGTCAATTAAAATAAACTAAACAAGCAGTTAACTATATTGTAATTTTAATTTGCGAAAGCTAATATGAATGAAAAGCAGGTTAAAGGGGTCGAATTGACTGCTATGTACAGCTTAAAAAGTGAGAATTAAGGATTTCATACGTTCGAAACTATCAATTTTGACGCTTTAAAATATACACTACACTGTTTTTAACTCATTGTTATCGTCGATCACATCAAATAGAACGAAGTGCATTATCCCGTAAGTGCTAGACAGCCAAGAGCACAACAAATTCAGTGATAAAAATTAACATAACTTACACGAATTTGATGAAACCTTCGACGTAAAAAAGCAGCCAACTTGGATTGTAAGGTGACAGATTTACATAGTTGTTTAAATAGAACAGTATTTTGAGACGAGAGACGAGCAATATCAAATGAAAGTTGATTCGCTAAATCATCATCTGTTTCTAGGCTCTGTAAAAACAGAAGAATAAGAACTTGACTTCAAGATAAAATTTGTGAAAGTGGAGTGAGAACTATCAATGAATTGAGACTTTTAGTTGAAGCTATTATATGTGTGGTAGAATTTATTAGTATACAACACCGACAGTAAAACGGAACTTAGAATACTTTTGTTCACTAAATCGTCACTTAAGTTGTATCTGTTAGTGAATTATTGAAAACAAGGGTCACTCAGAAGCCATTTACATTGATTCGAAATAAGGACACGAATTCGGGAGTCGACTGGTTATCATCATTAATGCACAGATTCAGTAGTTCACTGTTGAAATTTTTACCTTTTGTCAAATTGTTGTACAAATTAACTCTCATTCAATGGTGATTTAATGTCCTGCTGTTACGTGGTGGGAATCAGTCGACAGGAAAACCTGGAATCAGGTTTCAAGACAGCTGGCAGTCAGTCAGTCAGCAACAATGTAGAACTTCGTAAGTACGTATGTATTACTGAAGCTAATATTTCAGACACTATATTAGTCAAACTGATTCCTCTGTGATTGTCACAAGAGCACTTTTGTCCTTTCTTAAAAACTGGCACAATCAGTGATTGAGACCAGTGAGATGGGATTACGTCTAGTTCCCAAATTCTACCTAAGCCCTCAGTTAATCTCACTGCTAATACTGGACCACAATCCTTAAAAATGTCAGGAGTAAACATGTCAGGGCCTGCTGCTCTCCCACACTTCAGATTTCCTATAGCTTTTTCAACTTCGTAAAGAGTTGGAGGACCTACATTAACTTGCCATTCAGGTCGACTGGAGATCGTGAGAAACCGAAGTGTGGCTGAAGGCCAGTCGAACTGATCCCTAAAGTGTTCTGCCCATCGATCCAATCTCTTGGATTGAGGGTGAATAATATGTCCATCTTTTTCCGACATAGTTTCGCCAACAGTTGTATTCCTAATGCCGGTCTCCTTGACAATTCTGAACAGTTGTTGGCGAGACTAGAATTTGTGGAAGAACCAATCAGATTTGGGATAACAGGGCTTGGATTTTGACGCGAAATTCCTTCATTGGACTAACTAGCGTTTTGACATGTTAGCTGATGTAAGTTCGTGATGAAAAATATAAATCTAATTTCTAACCCTCACTATCAACTGTAAATTATAATCCTTATTCTTCAAGCTGATTTATAACACTCATTTAGCCGTAGTAACTAGGTGGACATCCTTAAGGTCACCTTAACATCTCTCTAAGGTCGTCCGAAAATTATAGTCTCACCCAGTTGTCTACTGTTAACTATTGCCACTGTCTTTTCCATCTCTCTTGGTTTTGCTACCCACCACTGTTCATGAGCATTACGTAGCCTCCTTTCAGCATGCGCTTAAGCCGACTCTGCTTTTCCTAATACTTAAAGTTACTAATTGCTAGAAATAGACGGTTATCTGAGCATAGCTGCAACAAAGCCGTGACTCCCGAAGGTTCCACCCAGGTGCCTTTCCTTTCCGCTTAGTTTACCTACTTGAACATTAAAATCACCAGCCACTATCACTACATCAAAACACCTAGCTTTTCGGAGAAAGTCGGAAAGCTTTCTGTAAAAATCATTTTTTAAATCATCTGAGCTGCAGTCAGTGGGAGAGCAGGTAGAGACGATGAAGAGGCAACGAAGAGTGTCCCTATATTTCCGAGTTCTCACTGTCCCGTTTAGTCGGACAGCGCACAAACGACTGTCTACTAGGATGCAGTCTAAGAGAGCTAGTCTTGCCCTAGGACTCAAAGCCATACCCACACCAGCGAGGCCACGGGAAGCAGCATCAGGGTTTTTAGATACACGAAGCGTGAATCTAGGTGGTTCTTTGTTTTGATATGGTGAGGTCAAATGAATGACACTACTCGGATCCTGTATGCACGTTTCGGAGACGCAGCATACATGGATAGCGCGAGATTCTAAAGTCCTAACTAAGAAAGCCTGTTGTCCTATTTGTCACAGTGTTTGAGCGTTAAAAGCTCCTACATGTAGTTTGGAGTGTGGTTTCAGGAGACCAGGAATAAAGTTCTGCTTTATCGAATAGTTTGCACTATCGATGGGAGGTGATAAAGGGACGTGAAAAGGGTTATTGGGAGGTGTGGGGAGGATTTGAATGTGATCAACTTGGCCTCGCGTGATGTTACGAGTGTGAGGACTGATATCACTTCCCGGCTACTCACACCGTCGAAGGGTGTTTCTTGAGGAACCTGTAATAGAAGTTGGACTAGTGTTGGTCTTGACGACCTGGGAGCACAACCGCAGAGCCCAAAGGACAACTACTTGAGGCCGGTTGCTCAAGGCCTTTCTGTGAGAAGTTTTCAACGTGTTAGCTCCGTTCTTCAAAAGGCTTTACCACCGGAGACGGGAATCCGTGAGGTGAGGTGAGGTGTGACATTTTTAGGGTGGACCTTTTCTAACCCTTTCCTTCCTTGTACGAAGGCAGTGTCGCTGCAGTTTCTGGTATTCCGAGGGAAACACCTTATTGCTGTCACACCCCTCTACAGTCAGCAGTACGACTTCACCCTCAGACCTTGAGTTGCTGCTTTTAGTTTTACCGTTCTCCAATCGACCTGTAGGAACATACGTTCCGGCTAATATAGTTCAGTTAAATCATCACGATAAGCAAGCCCGACCATTACGTCAAGGCAGCAGCTACAGTCGACAGCTGGTAATCGCAGGCAAAACGTAACTGCAACGTTTAGTGAACTGATCGTAAAAATTCGTTGAGAACTAGCGAACTAGGCAAGTGTGACATTGTTCATCATTTAGTGACAAATTAATTGTGTATATAGGTATAATTACTAAGGTTTGACTTGATAATTTAAATAAATTGAGCATTGGGTAAATTGTTAGAAGTAAAAATAATATATTCCTAATATCTCAATGAGTAGAAAAAATTAGTTTTCTGACGTCTCCTGGCTCAGTGTAAGCCACTTCTAACAATTCGGTTATTTGTTCTCTGAAGAAGTGGTTTACACTGAGTTACGAAACGTCTGAAAATTTAACTTTTCTACTGATTGGGATATTACAAATATATTATTTTTCATTTATAATCGTGTATATATTCAAACAACATAATGTGTAAAATCGTGTTCTCTTAAAGCAGATGACAAGGACTTGCAACTCTTAATAACAGCTACTAAAACAGATAATTTAGAAATGGAATTTTATCTTAAATTGGTACCAAGGGACAAAGAGTTTTTATTTGTTCTAGCTATCATTTAGATTAGTCAGTAACATATTCTTGGACTTACATCTAGGACAAGATTAAAACACTTACATTACCACGACAGAAGCACTGCAACGTTAAACTTGAATATTAATATGTTCACAGTCACCTAATATAGACAGTCAACGGTTAATTTTTTTAAGGATTATTCAGTGACAACTAAATTAATGAAACTCACTTGAGCTGTTTGTACAAGTGAATCCAATTTACTTTGAAAGTCAACAGGTTCTGTAATTTCAAAGAAAAATCAAGTTATTCACTAGACAAACACAATAAATAAGGATTTAAAATGTCAGCCCGTCAGTCAGTTATGAATAACGTAGAGTCTGACACAAGTGTGTGCTTTTCCATGCTGTCATGTTACGTTAAAACGACTATATGAATTTTTTAAAAATATAGAAAGGACTCAAAATTGTTTAACGCCGGAAACAACTAAAAATTGAAAGGATATTTCGAAAACACAAAAATGAGACGATATGTATGCAGAAATACTGGGACTGAAGATCAAGAGGATGATGAAGAGTGGGAGAATCTGGGACATTGTGACTGGTTTAGAGACAAATTAGACAATTTCTCCGATCACTGACTCTAATGATCAGGCAGACCTTAACCAGAGAATAAGTACCTCATGGATTGACTACTTTTTGATTTGGGGGCTACTTTATAATACCTGTTTTTAATTGACTTAAAGTTTCTTATCATCATTATGAAACGTTGTACACATGTTTATCCGTTCAAGTTGCCACACTACATATCATCACATCAATAGAAAATTATCAAGACGAAAAGTAAGCAGTGAGAATCTACTGAAGAAATGCCGTTTAAAAGGATCAGGTGTGATACAAATTCAATGAAGAGAAAAAAACAATCTTAATGCGTAAGAGGACGTGATAACACGTTTTCTCTCACGTACAATTGAAAATGGTATGCAAAAGTTTATTTTTGTTTAGTACTGATTTTTAGACGCTTACAATGAAATCAAACCTTCTTAACCTTTGATTAGTTGTCTGCTCATACATAAAAGTTACATTAAACTGAAGAATATATATCGTCAAGACTAACAGACATCGGTTTTCAATACTCTATTTGTTTTATTCTTGTGCAATTGTATTATGATTACTTACCGGAATAAATAATAACAGTAGGAAAGTATATACGGTAAATATCAATTGACTGTTGCGTGTATATAAATTATTAATCAGAGATATTAGAGCAACTCCGAAGTTCAATTACCACACTGAATTCATAAACATTTCGTAAATCAATAAAGGTATATGGTACAAATGTTCCTAGCTAGTAATTACAAACTGTGAATACACCGTATTCAGACATAAATATTAAGTATTTCACTTGATATAACATTGAAATACAAAGCAATTAATAATTTTGGCAATTTTATTTAGTCAATATTACAGTTAGTAAACTTCCCCTAATCAATTATACGGTGTAGTTCAACAGACTATTATTTAAAATCTGAATTATTGAGAGAAACGATGATAACTGATGATTGGAAATATACTATTTCAGATGGATTTTCCACAGTAACTATGATCAGCAACATTTGACGTTATTGATATTAGTAATTCAAAAAACGAGATCCACGAACAGATATAGTATTATTGTTGGAATGTTTGTATTAGGTTTTTCAAAACAATAAAAAGTTAGTTACGTATGAACTAAAATCCGAACTCTAGAAAAAAGGGCGAGAACATAATTTATGGACGAACCAATCACGAATAAGATAATAGTTCTCGGATTTTGGAGCGAAATTTACTCATGCACTTGGCTAAATACACTTTTGGCATTATAGCTGATATCAGTTCGTGATGAAAACACTAAATCTAATTCTTAAGCTTAATTATCAACTGTAAATTATAATTCTATTTCCTCACAAAGGTTCATAACCCTCATTAAGTCCTGGTTATTAAGCGAACACCCTCAAGGTCAATCTAGCTTCGTCCAAAGGTCGTCCATATATTATAGTCTTACAGGAAGAAGGAATACATCCATTACTTTCCTACACTTTGTCCCCAATATGTTATATCGGAACGAGAAAGGTTTTGAGTTATTCCGTTGCTGATATTCAGGACTGAAGTTCGGTCAGACTTTTCAGCATATGGATTCAGGTCAGTGAATTATTTTATTTTTATTTATTTTAACACATAAATATTGGTACAATGAGGCACCAAATACATATTCGCCACACAAATCTCATTTGGTTTGTGTGAGGGCTGTGATACTGCCCAGGTGCCCAAACCGAAGCAGGTGGTTTTCCTAGGGTGTCACGCCCGTAGCCTTCGACATGAAGGTCTGATCCACAAGGCAGTGGAGTAACGTAAGGAGATGCAGTCCCATGGTACCCGATGACCAACGATTGGTTCATACGTCATTCGTTCCTTTAGGATACTGGAGCCCATGTGCACCATTGGTTTGGAGCCAGGGTTTTCGAACTCCCCTAGGTGGACTCTCCATGTCCACCAACCCGGTTAAAGCGCCGGACATTCGCTTTTCGTCCTATCAATTTCGTAAACACCCACTCCACGAGAAGGTGGTGAGTAGGAATTCCCTGGCAGAGGCTATATACGCGTGGCCATGTGAGAGCATTTCGAGAGGCCGTATCAGGGCATTTGGGAACAGGTCAGTGAATAACAAGCGATTGTTAGAAGTGAAAGATATTGCGTTCGAGTCTCACTACAGACAATACTGTGGACGTAGATAAATGCGAATAATGAGTCTCAACTAGGAGAGAACGTGTATTACGCACTGCATTTTCTAGACAGAAGCTATTTATTTCAACTAACGCATTACACTTATTTCTCATATTTATAGAATGTTCTTTCTTTGAATTGTTTTTTTCCGTATCCCTTTAACTTCCTTTTCTTATTCACAATTGTTTCCCAGGACAATAATTGATTATAACCTTGAACTAGTGTATCTTATTAATTTTATACAACAAAATGAGTATTTTTTTTACTAGGATTAAATCTTTTCTTTATTTATATTACAGACGTTACATAATCTATGTTATTACTAGTTATATTTTATTACTTCAGTATTAAAATCATTATAAGTGACGTTTTTATGATTATGCTAAAAATGTTTAAATGTAATTAAAACAAAAATAAAAATACATACAAGACAGTTTATAAAAGGAATTTCATCGGAAAATTGAAAATAACTTCGAATATAGTTTATTGTAAATTATTGAAAAAATTCAAATGGATGTTATACATCATAAACAATGCTGAACTCATTATTAGAGACAGCTAATGATGAAAAGTTCAATCAATTATATGTAAGGCCTTTATTTTGCTTTCCACCTAAAGGTCAAGTAGTATTCAGTAATGAATAACATAGAACCCGGTACAAATGTATAACAATTCAATTTGATATATTCTATCAGCGCAACTAGGTAAAGTTATCCAGATAAATAATTAAGCAGTATAATTGGTAACAGTAGTAGTGGAAGTTTAAAATATTGAAGATAAACCATATGATTTGAGAAGGGTGAATTCGAAGGATAAAAAAAGTATGGGATAATTTTAACATTTAAAATATAAGGCAAGGGGAAGAAAGAGGATGGATCTGTACCACTGAGGCTGATTCTGAGTCTTCTCACCCAACACCTTCAACTACGAGTTCTTGTATTCATGAAGACAAACAACCAAGTACCTACAAATACGGTTCAGATCAATAGTTAGTAACTTCACGCGCTGATAGTATTCATGACAATCGAATCATCTCTGTTGTTATTATGGTTAATCATTAATTAATGTCATATAAACTACTAAAATCCTTTATTTAAAATATACGAAAAAAGTAACTGAAGGTTAATGACGAAAATGAAGAGAAACTCACCAATACGTGGTCTCATATATGAAGGTAAATACGGAAGACTTTCACGCCAAAATAATAACATGGATTCTCTTGCCGCTAATAATATTTGACAAAGATGTCGATGAATAGCAAGTGCAAAATGACGTCTGTTAGGCTAAAATAAATTTTTAAAATGTTAATGAGGCAATAAATTAGATAAAAATAGGAACACAATAAATTTTGATAAGTGAAAACAAACATTAAATATAAGAGTTGAGGGTTATTACTCATTACCAAGGTTTGATTTAATAATTTCAAATAGATTAAGCACTGGGTAGATTGTTGATGATAAAGTGAAAACACATTTGTGATACCTCATTGGATAAAAATCAGAATTTTTGACGTTTCGCAGATTAGTTTAACTTGCTTCTACAGAGAGTAAATAAACAGCTTAATTAAATTATTTGTTTATCTAAACATATGCGTCACACCTCGTCATTAGATTTTTGTGAGGGTTGGAATATTGTACGGACACCAAAGAAGGAACAGGTGGTTTTCTTAAAGGGGTCACACTCCAATCCTTTGACCTACAGTTCTTATCCACAAGGCAGTGAAGCAACATCAAGAGATGCAGTCCCATAGTAGTCGGTGACCAACATTAGGTTCATACTTCATTTGTTCTATCAGAATCCTGGAGCCGATGTGCCCCATTGGTTTGGAATCAGGGTTTTCCACATTCCAGAGGTAGATTTCCCGTATTCACCAACCCGTACTCTTAATTTCGTAAACAACACTGCCGCAAGAAGGCAGTGAGTGGGACATTTAAATAGTACAAAGGCATAACGTCAGTATTGCAATTTGAGAAAAAAATACTATCTGACTTGTTGGTTTACAGCTAGATTATCAGTTTTTGAACCAACTGTGGTCAATCTGAAATGAATATCTCAATAGTGTAATATTTGCGAATATGAAATCGGCGCTGAATATAGCGTTATTAATTAAATTTACACATGAATTGATGTCAATTGAAATAAAATTAATGCATAACACCTAGTAATGTATCTCTTTCAACGAATAGTTTTAATTCTTCAATTTATGATAGAATAAGGATTTTCATTTGAACGCTACATAAACAAAAGAATAAAAGTGATTCTGTACGATGATGGTGTTTAACAGTAGGACAGAACATACGTATCTGTGAGATGATTTTTTTCGCAGAAATTGTTAGCACGTATAACATTTTGCCAACAGTAATAATAATAATAAATCACGTGTTCTTGAAGACAGATATGCTTATCCCCATTAGTCGCAGTGATTATTCAACAGTCAAAAATATTATGTTAGTCAATTACCAAAATAAATTCTTCACCTTCAATATTATTAAGGAATTTATTTCTAGTTTTCACACCTTATCCTTCAATGTTTAGTCTGTCTTACCACTATTTTTATTCACATTGTTCATTTAATCGTGTCGTACTGATATAGTATGACAACTGAGACTGATGCACATCCGCAAAATAATGTACGTTGATTATGACTAAGTCATAAATAGTGTGAAAATAACATCGTAAGCGACGGTAGCCAATATTAATCATAAATATTATTTTGACCGTAGTCGAGGAGTAATTGAGCCGTTGTAAAGCTAGAGTAAAGGGGATCACTATCAGAAAAGATGAGGGAGCGACGTAAGACGTGAGGCAATACACGTTTCAACGTGATGTTGTGTAAAGCGAGTTGCAGTTTTCGAAAGACCGCTTAAATTCGAAGATAAACCTTGTCAATGTGCACAGAAAATAATAACACAGAAGTCCTATGCCTTTAGCTGATTGTTGAAAATACAATTAAAGATAGGATAAAAAGCCTTTTGGAAATTCGATAGTTATACCAAACCAATTAGTCTTCAAAATACAGACCGAAATATTCCAGATCATACTGGAAATCAATATTCATAAAAGCATGAAGGAGTGTAAACAGAGAATGATAGCTATTTCAACGATTATAAAATCACGTAAGAAAACAAGAAAAAAATGTCATAGGAGTAATCTAGTGATTCATATTGCAATCAAATCCAACACGATCAGTGGTACAGTTCAAATTATGACATGATTTTAAGTGTAATATAAGACTAATCAAGTTACAAATTCAAGGTAAAAAGATATGATAGCACATCCTTGACTGTAATTTCTAGGTAATATATATTTACCATTACTCTTGTATGTGCACTTTAGAAGGTATTGAAGTTGCTGTATTCGTTAACATAGGCGAACTAAACAGACAAATTTCCCACCTAGAGTCCTATGGTTGTAAATAACTATCCTCAGGTTCAAATGCAATCCTCATGTGACTTATTTCATTTAAGAACAAATCGAACAGTAACACAATCGCTTAAATAATCAAGATATAACTAAAAGCTCAGTAAATGAACTTGTATTTTAGTAAATTGAAATATTTTTTTAAAGGTTAAAATAAATCATAAACAATGTTAAGACATTTAATTGTTTTATTTGAATACTACCAAGAAAATAATATTAACAGTTGATTAATATATTTTTCAGTGAATACAAAACTTATAAGAGGTCATTATTAGATATATGAGCAAATATATTAACATATTCAATCAGAATACATTTACGTTTATATATAATAGATAACTTAGGTTTTTCTTTAAATGTTTTATCAATATGTCAATTAATTAAAGTCATTACAATAAAGAATTTGAAATTAAGTTATAAGTTATTTCCAGAGAATTAATAATAAAATTACTGCTTATATACATGGATAGTATGGAAATAACAATCGTAATAATAATAATATAGATAAAAGATATAAACACCGAAACTAATAATTGACCTACAATTTAACCGAAATTATTGTTTTCCAATTCGTTGCATCTTAATTACAACAAATCATTTTAATTAAGAGAGACAGAGATTATAACAAAAGAGTAATATGTATGGTAGGTAAAGTTGATATATGAGTTTCATATTTAGTTTATCAAAGTTAAGAACAAATTGACTAGTTGTTTATTAGTTGGTTCGTAAGATATGGTTTGATTAATGTGAAAGTAAGTTATTGGTAGCATTCTATAATTATTCAGTTCATTTACCAAATAAAGAATTGTGTATTTAGCTTTGAAACAACACTCATATTGCGATGGCTGGTGATACTACTTGGTTGCCGTAAATGAATCCGGTAGAGCTAGAGTCCGGATCCGAGACTTCGTTGCTGAAAGTTCAACGACTTTAACATTGAGTCACCTCTTCATCATAGAAGTGGTATAATATAGAATAACTAAGTATGTATGTATAAAAACTATATTCGACATAAATCTCATTTACATAATCTGAGGACATCATTTTACATATGACAATGAACAAGTTTGAGGTATTCGTAACGTTTGATCAAATTAATTCGGATAGTCTTGGAAAAAATGCTGATTTTAATTATTGTATTCAGCAGAAACAAACTAAGCCGCTCAACCATGAGTTGATCATTGGTGTGAAAACATTGATAGTTTTACAAAATGTTTATTTTACCTCCACGAACTTAAATTAACAAAAAGACTTAGACAATATCACAAAACATCAGAAAAAGATTATGATAATCAAAACTTCTATTAAGAATGTATCCATTCTATCGAGAAAAATAACTGATTAGTTCATGGAAAAACGAAGCATTATGTTTGGTTAAAAGTATGCGGGAAAATAAAATGAAATTAAAGAAGTTACTTCATCATATTGTTTAGTGACTGAAACTATATTATAATGCAGAAATTAAAGAATAATAAAAATAATCGTTGAATTTGTAAAGCTAAATTTTAACGTTTATTTAATGATTTCAATATATTTTTTGTCGCTATGATACGCTGGGTGACTGAAAACAATCGAAATCAGATTATTTATTTTAGTTGTGATTAGCCTGGTCTACGGCGAATGAACAAAGTATTCACAGTTACTCAATTTATAGATCAATGCTTCAATTTTCTTTAAAAATGATTGGGTAAAGACAGATAGTCATTATCAAAATGGAGCTTGACAAAGATGTTGCCATTATTTGATTGGCACAAGATGGAAAAATTGACATCATGTAGTAGCAGTGATAAAAAGACTAAACCTTAAGAATGTGATTTGAGAAGATAGAAGAGCAAGACATGTATAAAGGACACTGAAATTCGAAATCGAAAAAAGGATAAAGAGTGAATACATCTGCTCAACTCCAAATGACTTTGAGCCATATCACCTAAAGTCGCAAACCACTGACTGTCGTTATCATGTGGACCTCAATCAGGTATTACGCAGCTCTCTACATGAATCAGACCGACAGTTAATGACTTGATAGACTAGTGATTCATTAATTCAGTCTTGGGTAGATAAATAAAACTTATTGAAGATTTATCAGTTCTAATTGTTAAGTAAATTTGATAAGGGTTGTTACGAAATTTTGAGACAGTCTGAAAGAGTGAACTCTAAAACCGATGTAGATTGATATGTTTCGGGCTTCATATATTATGAACAGGCGATTTTACTTGAAAGCCTGTAAGACAAAATGGATAAATATTAATGGTATCATATATATACATATATATATAAAGATTAGTATTTGTTAGTTCACAAAGACTTTTTGGGCTAAGTCTAAGTATTAATCCAACCTAGTGTCTTGAAGCATTATCAGATATTGTTTAAAAATAGAAGCTTGTAGCAATCTTGGTGTAATTTTCTAGTAAAGTTTCCCCAGTCAGCAATATCCACTTTCTAACTGGATGACATTTCGATTGGTTTATAGTTCAATTAAAATGTATTGATCGATACATAATGTTTTCCTTTCTTTTCTTTTTTAAGGAGTAGTTTATTTTTTCATAGTTTTTTTTATAGTTTTACTGTTTATGAAACATTATTTGGTGAATTATTGTAGCAGTTGTTTTGAGAGATTAATTGAATAAAAAGTATGACTATAAATTTAATATTACATGGAAAAATCTCATAAAAGCGTTAATGTTATAATATATTAATAGTCTTTTTTCTAAGAGTAGTCATTTACAATAAGAATCAATTAGTCTTACGCAACGTAGAACCTGGAATATAAATAAATCAGTTCAAATTACGACACTAAATCAGGATAGATAACAGAGAAATGGGATTTGTAGAAATTAGTAGAAAATTCTAAGCAAAAACAATATAATTCCATACGAAAAAATGAATTCATGGAACAAAAAGTATGGGTGCTTTAAGATAAAAAGTGAATAAATCCACTTCATTAAGACTGATTAAAAACTGTGTTGTTTAAATAAACATCAATTGTTTTTAAGAAAAGACGGGAATAGTCTTTTTCGACATTTTTCAAATAAATAATTTTCAGTGACTACTTATTTCACCACCGGAAACATCGCAACGAAAATTTTTTTAACAGTTTACATAACGGCTTAATCGTAAACCATGACTGAAAACTAGGAAGTACTAGACAGTTATCTCGTCGCAGTAGGAAACTTTGCAACTGTCCATATCGACGGTAACACCTAGATTCAGTTCGAGATGTAAACCGGGAAAATTCAAACAATCTCCTCAAACCGCCTTATACTAATAATAATCATATGCTCATTAGTAATTTGCTTCGATAGATAATTTTAAAAGTTATAGTAAAGAAAAGTGACTAGTACTGTTCAACCATATTAAACGTGAGATAGATGGCGGAAGGTCGTCGCACAGTATCACGAGTTGATTAGTTAGACATGCAAGCCACTAGATGATAAGTAAGTGATTTAAAGGGCTCAGCGTGAAACACAAAGGTCCTGAATTTGATTCTTTGGTGATGACTTCGATATAGACTGTTGATAAGTTTCATACCAGGACGAAACAGTCAACCAGTTTCCTGGTTTTCAATAGTTATTCAAGATTAGTGTATGAATGGAAAATTTCGCAAAATGTTATTTTACGTAAAAAGATAAGTGGTGCTAAACTAAAACTGTGGTTAGTTAAACAACTCATCCACAGTTTTGGACCAACAAAATGAACCCTGTTATCTTTACGAAATTCATAGTAATAATTTTATTAAATCAGAATGATTTATAAGAATAAGAACATAAATAAATAATCAGACAATGTACACACCTGTTTGATACTGCAAGTGATACCATGCCATGTTTGTTGAGCTAAACTAATTATTTGGTTGTTTGTTTGTAAGGGTGTATTATGTGGTGAAAATTTTGGCCAACTATGTATAAAAGAGAAAGAAACAGCTTTCGAAACTATTTGTTATAAGCAAATAGCAGAAATTACTGAAGTAAAATACAGTTTTGCAAGTTTAACTCATTTAATTAAAACAATTATTTATGGTTTACATTATGGAATGACTTTAACTAGGTAATCATAGAAAACTAAGAAGTTGTGGAAAGTAATTTTATCGTGGTGTGAGAATCCTCAGGAACATACACCGAGAAGCTAACCATGGAGCATATCTAGGTACCTAAAGATTCATGGTGACGTTCAATATCATACAATAACTACATCTTTCCGCTTTTCCAACTAGCACAAGCATAGGCTCGTAATACGCAGTATAGAAACTACCGAAGTAACTCAACTTCAGTAATTATCGTTTAACACAAGTATATAGATAAAAGATGGCTTTCATAAATTTTGATTATTCAACTCATTTACCAGGTACAGATTCATGTAAATTGCTTTGAGCCACACTCTTAGGTATGAGGATTAGTGATAATACCTAGTCGCTAAAACCGAAGTAGGTTTGGCTGTGTTCGAACCTGTGAACGTCAAACGCCTAAACCACTAAGCCAATGCCTTCATAAAAGGACTGAACGAAAAGATGGTATGAAAAATCTGAATTGATTTTATATGTCATATATTGAATTTTAAAGATTCTCATTGTGAAAATTGAATTGACTGGCAAAACAGTATGATTAGTTAGTAAATGAAAAGATTGAAAGCCGGAAATATACTTTTAATTTTGTAGATTCATAATGGCTTTGGAAGCATGACTTAAAATTTTAAAAGATTGAGGAAGACATAAATATTAATAATTTTTTAAACAAGACAGGAAATTCTGAAGTATATTTTCTGAAAAATAAATTTATGTTGTGAAATCACGTTCAAATTTTGATAGATAACCGACTTTCAAATGAATCAGAAGTTAGCAATTTATAGACCGAAAAACAGTGTAACATAGTAAGCAAATGTATGTGTTCTCGGTTATGATTTAAGCTTTACAGATACGAAATGGAATTACTATCTGATTGCCTATATCGAACTAGGTAGAGTGAAATATGTCAACTTTTGATCCTTGACGAATACTACCAACAAAAGAAACAGACCACCACAAAACCTTTACAACTAAACTTTGGTAGTCAGCTCAACAATGACTTAATCCAAAAGGTTCTTGAGTATTTAGTTATGACTGATGGAGTTCTGACATATTGGGAGTCAAATAGTTGTCATCAGTGATATTGGATGGTTGTCTCCCTTTTTTCACAAACTAATTGAAGTTGGAGTTGTATCGTTGGAAGTTAACTCAGTAGTTCTAATAATTAAGCTTTTCAGGTAAGACCTGAAGTGTCCTGGTTGATTTGTAAATGTGCACTGCTAAAGAGTCCCCCACTAAGATGCACAGGCTGCCCAGTACTCCTTGTGTGGTGTGTGCTACTTATATTGACATAAGTAGTACATGATGTCAGTCGTGAACAGAAGGTCTGGCAGCAGAGAAACAAGAGGATCGAACAGTAAAGAATGGAAACAGGATGCAATTTGTATGAAAATGCAAGAACAATGAAGTCTGAGTCATCTTGAGACAATTGGTGGACATTTTGCAAATTAAGCATTTACTTTATGATTGTTAGATTTTATTAAGAAGTCCTGTAATTTTGTATTAAATACATTCGATTATCCCCACTAGTATCAGAGCTGAAATCAGTCTGTGACGAATACAAACTATATATCGAACAAAAGACGAATGTTTAAGCCATTAGGCTTCTGCTCCAGAATAGCCAATGTCCAGCTTATTTAACCAATAGATGGTAGGCTCTAACCCTGCCTTACTTTTTTTGAACAGACTGGTAGTGTTACTTACTAACCCCCGTACGAACGAAATAACTCAAAGATTAATACATAAACCAGTAGTTTGTAGAATACTTTACAATATATATTTATTTAAAATGGATATTAAAGAAGTACTTACCTAATAATACTTGAAGTGATGTTTGTTAATGCTCCATAAATTGCTAATTCAATAGCACATAAATGAAAATAATCGAAGAATACGGTGAAATGATAGTGAAGTCCACGAGATGGTGTTAAATGAATACGTAGTTGACGCTCACATACCTTAGTCAGAAATTCAGGAGCAAAGGGTCTAGAAGGAAGACAGAATCTTTTGTGACAAGTGAAAACCAGAACAGTTTGTTAAATAATTTATATACTGTGACGACGGACCACCGGTGAACTCGAGAAACCTGTAAGAGGCTCAGAAGGAGCCGAAGATGTTCCATCCAATCACCTTTCGGAAGAATATTCTAGAATTCCTACGTGTAGCTTCCCGATTAGATAATGCTAATAGCCCCCTGTATGCGGATTGGAGGACTGTAATGATGATTTCGTTCTTACTCAAAACTATAAATACCTGACAATTTTGTACTATAATTGACAGTCTGGAATAATATTCCTTTCATTAGGCTCCTGTCTTCTTATTGCGACTTGGAAGGGTTTTGTTGTTCTAGTGCTCTGTTATACGCAGTATATCAAGAAATCAACATCACGATATAACATATATATATATATATATATATATATATATATCCATCTAATCATGCATAACCTTCTACAACTTACTTTAACGTCAGTCAGTGTCGCACTTCGTCGTAGGTTATAAATATTAGGCGCCCCCAAATGCCCTGGTACGGCCGAGAGTGGGGAGAGTCCGCTCTCCCTCTCGAAATACTCTCACGCGGCCACGTGTATATAGCCTCTGCCAGAGAAGTCCTACTCACTGCCTTCTCGTGGCGGGGGTGTTGTTTACGAAAATGAGAGGACGAAAAGCGAATGTCCGGCGCTTTAACCGGATTCCAAACCAATGGTGCGCATGGGCTCCAGTATCCTGCGGGAACAAATGGCGAATGAACCAATTGTTGGTCACCGGCTTCCATGGGACTGCATTTCCTTACGATGCTCCACTGCCTTGTGGATCAGACCTTCAGGTCGAAGGCTCGGGGTGTGGCCCCCTAGGAAAACCACCTGCTTCGGTTTGGGCACCCGGGCAGTATCACAGCCCTTACACATATCGAATGAGATTTGTGTGGCGCATATGTATTTGGTGCCTCTTTGTACCATTATCTATGTGTTGAAATAAATAAAATAAATAAATAAATAATAAATATTAGGCAGGTGGGGAAACTTCCAACCCAGACCTCGTGGTGCCCTGAGGATATTGGAGCTGTGTCACATGAACTAATATGGGTGGTTGATAGGGATCGAACTAATCAGCCATTATACCATGAGCCTGGACAACCCACTAGATAACGTATTAATATTGTGTGTTGAGGTTTCATTCTGAGGCAGTAAAAGTGGAAACATCATCTATGCCTATGAGTAAACTCTGGAATAAAAATGTCCCTTTCTTGTATACTTCATATATACATATAACGTATACTTGCTGAAGATTAAGAACCGAATTTATCTTTTTTTTGTGTTCGGTAACCCTCTATATCGGAAACGTAACTGAAGAAAGCTTACGTATTCAATTCACTTCCTAGATCTCCAAAGCGAATAAGTCTAGCATAATGCCAACGCGATGACCATAAACCATGCTCTGAATCTTGTGATACAGGGGTCGACACTATATCTCAATAAGGAACAACTGTGAGGACATGTCGTCAATAGATGACTTTGTGTGGAGACAAGTCGTACTAGTACACAATGAGAAGCTGACCTTAAAAATATTATCATATGGAAAAATAAATATTACACAATGCAAAGGTAAGGATTACCAATACGTGACTATCATTAACTACATCTTAAAACAAAAAAGCTGATTTATTTTGAAGTTCGACGAAAATCATTCAAAACAAATACATTGTGATAATAATAATAATAATAATAATAATAATAATAATAATAATAATAATAATAATAATAATGGTCTAAAGGTCATCATGAAAGTAACACTTAGTTCGATTACACGCTAACTGAAATGAATTCACTACTGAAAAAAAATCAATATTGGTCAGGTTTTCATGGAAATGATGTGCATATAACTTGCTTCCGAAATACATATGCTAGGTTCTATGTTGTTTATGGCTATCCTGGTTTTGAGTCACGATGATTATGTGAGGGATGTTCAAACCAACGTAAATGAAGAGAGTTTCTAATATATGACCTGTCACTGACGGTGGGAAGCCGAGTGCCTTAACCATGCTTCCAGACCAACGGTGCACACAGGATCTAGGATCCTGAGGGAGCAAATAGCGTATGAATCTATTGTTGAGTGCTGTTAGATGTATGAGGAGAGTTATCACTTCCCGTTTCCCACACCGTGGAAGGGTTCTTCCTGAAATGCCTGAAAAGGAAATTGGGTTAGAGGTGATCTTAGTGACCTGAGAGCGTGACCGCAGTGCTCAAAAGACAGTTGCTTGAGGCCGGTCACACAAGACATTCTTGTGAGTACTTTTCGTGTTAGCTCCGTACTTGTTGGGACCTTACAGCCGGAGACGAAAATCCGTGGGATAAGGCGAGGTGTGCACTTTCAGAGTCGACTGTCTCGAACCCCACACTTTCTTGTGGGAAGGCAGCGTCGCTGTTATGCTGATTGTCTGAAGGAAACACCTTACCGCTGTCACCTTTCTGTACAGTCAGCAGTATGACTTCGCCCTCGGACCTTGGGTTTGCTGCTTTTAGTTTTACCGCTCCTCAACCGACTTGTCTAGCATGGTAGCACCTTTAGTAACGGTTGTTCCAGCCAGTGTAGCTCGATTGATTCGTTACGATAGGTAAGCCCAAATACCACATCAAAGTAGCAGCAACGATCGGGAATCTATTGTTGGTCACTCTTTACCATGGGATCGCATCTAACGTTGTCCTTTCGCCTTATGGATTAGACATTTAGGTTACAGGCTCAGAACCCGACCGAAGCTGCTACCTTGACGCGGTGGTCGGGCTTGCCTATCGTGATGACCCGACCGAGCTATATTGGCTGGAACATATGTTCCTGTAGGTTCTACCATGCCAGGCAGGTCGATTGGTGAACGGTAAGACTAAAAGCAGCAACTCAAGATCTGAGGGCGAAGTCGTACTGCTGACTGTAGAGAGGTGTGACAGCAGTAAGGTGTTTCCCTCAGACAACCAGCATGACAGAGATGTTGCCTTCCCACAAGGAGGGGTGGGGTTAGAAAAGGTCGACCCTAAAAATGTCACACCTCACCTTACCTCACGGATTTCCGTCTCCGGCGGTAAGACCCTTTGAAGAACGGAGCTAACACGTCAAAAACCTTCCACAAAAAGGCCGTGCGCGACCGGCCTCAAGCAGTTGTCCCTTGGGCTTTGCGGCCACGCTCCCAGGTCGTCAAGACCAACACTAATCCAAATTCCTTCTCAGGTTCCTCAAGAAATACCCTTCCACGGTGTGGGCAGCCGGGAAGTCACATCAGCCCTCATACCCGTAAAAGCGCACGTAAGCAAGTTGGTCACATTCAAATCCTTCCTACACCTAATACCTCTCTTATCTCCATGATTAACCGTCCTCACGTCTCTTTATCACCTCGCACCGCCAGGGCAAACGATTCGAGTACGTAGAACTCTATTCCTGGTCTCCTGAAACCACGCTCTAAACTACACGTACGAGCTTTTAACGTCCGAACACTGTGCCAAATAGGACAACAGGCTTCCTTAGCTAGGACTTTAGAATCACGTGCCATCGATGTGTGCTGCGTCTCCGAAACGCGCATACAGGATCCGAGTAGCGTCATTCATTTGACCTCACCATGCCAAAATAAAGAACCGACTCGATTTACACATCGTGTATCTGGAAGCCCTGATTCCGCTTCCCGTGGACTCGCCGGCGTAGGTATAGCATTGAGTCCCAGAGCAGAACTAGCTCTCTTAGAGTGGATCCCAGTAGACAGCCGTTTGTGCGCTGTCCGACTGAACAGAACAATAAGGACTCGGAAATATAGGGACACTCGTCGTTGCTTCTTCGTCGTTTCTGCCTATTCTCCCACTGACTGCAGCTTAGATGATGTAAAAGATGAGTTTTACAGAAAGCTTTCCGACCTTCTCCGAAAAGCTAGTCGCTCTGATGTATTAATAGTGGCCGGTGACCTTAATGCTCAAGTAGGTAAACTAAGCGATAGGGAAAGACACCTGGGTGGATCTTATGGTGTCGTGACTCAAAGAACAGATAATGGCAACCGTCTGTTGCAGCTATGCTCAAATAATTGCCTGTTCCTTGCAAATACTAACTTTAAGCATAAGGAAAAACATCTCTTAACATGGCGACCCCCTAATTCATCCCAACGTTGGACCCAAATAGATCACACCGCTATCAGCCACCGATGGAGGGGCTCGATAGAAGACTGTCGTTCATTCTGGAGCACATGCTTAGATTCAGACCATGCTTTAGTACGAGCGCGTATTTGTCTGCGTCTTACTGGACATAGGAAAGACGCTGCAAGTAAACCTCTTAGGGGTCTACTTAATGATATTCAAGCTAAGAGTATATTTCAGGAACAACTAGGAAAACAGTTAGGCAGCCATGTATGTGATGCCCACCCCGAAGCAGCATGGAATGATATCCGAAAAGCTGTGGAAGCAGCAGTGATATCTGCTAGTACGGTAACCCGTAAGGTTAGGGAGGAACACTGGATCTCAGCAGCATCTACCGCACTGATAAATACTCGGAAACTCATTCCACCTGGCTCTGAACATAACGAAGGGCAGAATCAGCTTAAGCGCAAGCTGACAAGAAGTCTACGCAATGATCGTGAACAGTGGTGGGTAGCGAAAGCAAGAGGGATGGAAAAGGCAGCGGCAATAGGTAATAGCAGACAATTGTTCAGACTCGTTAAGGAAACCGTAATTAGGAACCCGACCGTTAGCGAAACAATATCAGAGAAAGATGGACATATTATTCATTCTCAATCCAGGAGATTGGATCGATGGGCAGAACACTTTAGGGATCAGTTCAACTGGCCTTCAGCCACACTTCGGTTTCCCACGATCTTCAGTCTACCTGAATGGCAAGTTAATGCAGGTCCTCCAACTCTTTATGAAGTTGAAAAAGCCATAGGAAATCTGAAGCGAGGGAGAGCAACAGGCCCTGACAGGTTTACTCCTGAGACTTTTAAGGGTGGTGGTTCAGTATTA